TCATCTCTATTAGTTTATACTCTGCTAATATATTATCCTGATTACTATTCTAAGTCTAATTCAAGTCCAATTCAAATTCAGTGAAAGATGCACATTATAGCCAGTTATCACAAAAGACAAAGAGCTGCAAATCCTTTTACGTGAGATGCTGCAAAAAAAAAATAGCTTCCTGCAGATTTATATTATATGACATATAAATATATAAATTTTGACTAATGCTCAAGCAATTGGTCAAACCTACATCAAACGTCTTTACATTTTCACAGCGGCTTTGCCCGAAGGTGAGCTAATGTTACTCTCGGGTCTGCTGGTGTGTCTGGAGATCAGCTCTGTGGTGTAAAAACTGGGTCTGGGGACCCCTCGTCACCAGCTCTGTACCAAAAGACAAGGAGCTCTTTCTTAACGCCTGCAAGTTGAGCACTGCTGTTCTACTGCTACACCCCTCAGCTCAGGAGAGGTGGCAGACTAAATAAGTCCCCATTGAGAGACACTTACCAAGTGCAGAAATTCCCTGTGAAATTAATTACAAGAGCAGTGATCGCAAAATAAATCTGTTTGTGGGGGGGTCGTTTTTTTTTAAATGCTGTTGTTTGGTTGTCCTCGCCACTCCCCTCCCCAAGGTCCCTGACTTTCTATGTTAGAATTCATTAATAACACGCCTAAAAAAAACTAAAAAAAAAAAAAAACTAAACTAATTCCAAATCAAAAACACCTCTACAAACAAACCCCCCCAAAAAACAAAAAAAACCCTAACCCCAAACACACAACAAAGAGCTTAGTGAGAGATTGGATTGGCTGTCTGGCTGCAGACTGCAGGGTAAATATTGGCTGAGCCTGAGAGTGCCTGTCTGTGTGCGTGTCTGTGTGTATACATCTGTAAATGTGTGCGTGCGTGTGCCCATGTGTACATTTTTGCGTGTGCGTTTGAGGGAGAGTCAACAAGTAGCCGTGTGCGTGTTTGGCCTGAGGTAGTTGACAGATGACCCCGCTGCCACCTACACACCAACACCACTCACACACAGGATTACAGATCAGGCCATTTACATCCGTCTGGCTGGCTTGCCCCCGCTGCAGGCTAACTGTTACATACACACAGCGCAGACGGTCACTTAAGTCTCCGATACAGGGACCAGGACATTCCCCAGAGACAGATGTGTGTTTGTGCGTGCTTCTTAAGAACCAGGAGGATGATTCTAGGAATATTCTACACAAGAGTTTGTATTTTGCATTTTGAGTTTTATTTTCGACACATTTGGTCGCAATATAGTTACTGTGTACTGTATAAACCAGGCTAAAGGATCGATAATTGCGACGCAATTGCTTTTTCAGTCCAAACATAAGAAAGACGGTTAGGTACAGGCTCACAATCATCTATTGGTCCCCGGCATCTCCTCAACCAATGACATCACTAAGGTTTGGAAAAACAAGGAAGCTACAACTGGTCTGTTATTGTGGCGTCTGCCATGTTACTCGGTCAACTCATTATCATGCTTGCGTCTGACTCTTACCTAATTGAATGATGCCTAGGGGTGCAACAATACTCGTATCAATACTGAACCGTTCGATACAGTGCTTTTGGTTCGGTACGCATATGTATCGAACAATACAAAATGTTTTATTTATTTTATCAACTTTTCTTCTGACGATGCTGTCTGTGTTGAGCGCTCAGTGGATCTGCGTTCGATTGATCCACCTAGGCTGCACTGTCGAGTGCAGATCCACTGAGCGCAGCGCAAGCTAGCAAGACAGAAGCTAAGCTCGTTGCAACATGGCAACTGCCTCAACGCTACCCGAAATTGAACCTCCCCCACCCTCATTCAGATCTGGCGTTTGGAACTGTCTTGGTTTTCATGTGAAGTATGACCCTGATGGTAAGCGCGTCATGGACAAAAGTAAAACAGTATGTCGGATGTGCCACGCAATGCTCAATTGGTGGGAACTAGTGCGTTAGCGCAGTGAGCTTGTTAATGTGTTGACGCCGTCCAGCCCCACGCACGGGGCAATCTGCGGTAACTCGTTAACGGAGATTTGCCGCGTTACGGCGTTAATGTCATTTTAACGAGATTTACGCTGACAGAACTAGTGGGAACACAACGAATATGACTGCACATTTACGCCGACATCATCCTAGTGCAAAGACAAGTGGAAGCAGACAAAAACAACAAGCACGCATGCTACAAACTTTACCCGAGTCATTAGCACATGATTCTCCTTATGGGGACCTGATATGTTTAATATGCTGCTGAGAATATAGCCCAGAAGAAGCGTATAGAATAGCTTTTATTTTGGAAAGAGACATTTCTCTGTAATAAACTCTCTTTTCCAAAGATGAGGGATTTCTCGAGCAGATAGATTTTTATTTTTTTTTATTATTTTGTTGTTTCAGCAACATTACATTTAAAAACTGTACTTTTGAGTTAAAATATATATTTAATTTTAAAGAATGACAAATTAAAAAGGCATGAACATTTTTTTGTATCGAAAAAATATCGAAAGTATTGAACCGAACCGAACCGTGAATTTTGTGTATCGTTGCACCCCTAATGATGCCATTATGCAGCAGCTGATCTGCAGCCTTGTCCCAAAATACAATCTTACTTTTCTAATCAGTTTTCCTGATTTAACCATTTTCAATCCAGATTACAGAACCAACCACTGCATTACTATTGAGACATTTCCCAAGGTTTTGTAGAAACAGGGTTTGCACTAGGTTCAAGTAGAATGATCTAAGGCAGCTGACATATAGTATTTCCCCTGATAATAGCAGTAAGAGACAATATCTGATTAAATGACTTAAGAGTGTAATATGTTTGCCGAACACATGTTTGCAGTGTGACCCTGCAGGGACGACACCTTCAAAAGAAAAGGTGAGCCACTATCCAGTTAAAGCTTTTATCTCTCAGCCTCTTTAGCCGGGCAGCTAACTGTAGGTTAAAGCTAAAGGATGCGCAATGACTGGTGCTGCTGTGTGAAAACAGAACTTTAAAATACCATGCCTACTATACGAGATAAATGCACCACACAATGAATCCAAGCACAGCAACAGCTAGGAGACTAACACTTGTTAAGAGGTCTCTGCCTTTCAAATCCTACATGTGAATCCCAGTGTAGGCTGAGGTTCGGTTCCTGGCCATGACACACTGTCTGCGCTGTGATCCCTCTATGTTCCAAGTCCCTTTCAATTTTCCTCCTCGTCTGAATGAAAGAGGAAACACACCAGTGAGACGCCTGCTCCGCTTTATAAAAAAGGGGAGAGAGAGGGAAAAAAAAAAAGAAAAAGAGGCAGACTGTAGCTCTTTTCTGCAGCCAGAGAAATCATCAAAGCATGAGCTGCATTATTCAGCCTTGCCGAGTCTGCATGACAACACAGCCGACAAACAAGAGCTCTTTTCAAACCAGACGGCCACTACAGTAGAACACAGCTATTTCAAACCACTTGTGAATGGAGCTCCCTCCGACTAGTGAGACATTAAGACGAGGAGAAATGCACTGAAAATACCAGGCCAGCATTTATTCAAAGTTGTGTGAACCCACAATGCAGTTTGTTTGCTAGTTTAATACTTTGCAAGTGTCAATCAGAGCAACCATTCCACTTTTTCCCTCCTCTTGCTGCACTGCTCAGTCTGAGACAGTCCTCCTGGATTATCTAATTAGGCTCCGTGCTGTACCAGTCGATCTGTGCGTGCACCACTTCATGCCTGACTATGTGCTTTTCCTGGCTAGCAGTACCATGATGCCACAGAAAAACGAATGGAGGAACACCAGTCCGTCTGCCAGATAAGCGCACAGGCGCGCACACACACACTTACTTCTTGGTTGCAATGTGGCGTCAGCACAACCACACTCTGCTGCCAAATCTGAATCTAATATCCTGTGTTCACCTCATGTTGCCCGGCCCTGGCCTCGACCCCAGTGGAAATTACACATCAGTGTAACTCTGTCTGTCCTTCTGTCCGTACGTCTGTAGCTTGTCTGCGTGTCTGTCTGTCAATATATCTGCCTGTCTGGCTCTCCCGCATCTCTGTTTATATCTCTGTCGGTACTTGCCTGGCTGCCTGGTTGTGAATCTACCCGCCTTGTCTGCTATGTGCCCGTCTCCTGTTTATTTGTCTTCCTCTGTCTGTCTGTAGACCTGTCACACTGCATGGATACACTCACTGTGCGTCTGGCTGTCCTCTGGTGTCTCTACATGTCTGCCTGCTGTGCTTTTTTTTTTTCCTGAATGCTCAGTCATAAAGAGGAACATCTGCAGTGGATCTAGCAGGCAGCAGCATTAGAGCAGAGCTGATAATGATAGTTTCTCTTTGGGCCGCTCAGAAGGCAGACAGACATAACATACCATTCAAGCGTTTCCTGTCTGTGCTGACAGGCAAACTATTTAACCCTCTGTGGTGAGCTCCGAGAGCATTTGCACAGCCAGGCAGCCCTATAGGGTCATACAGTGCCACTGTAAAACAAACTTCAAGTGAGAAAAAAATACTACTTCTGGAAAACGCAGATGATTATTAAAAGCTTTTTTAGTACTAAGCTGAAAGTACACACATATTGATATTTCTTAATAAGCTAACTGTTGAGTATTACAGTGTACCCGATTAATAGTAATGGGCACCTAAGAGCTTAAACGTACGCCAACGCCTGACATAAGCACTAAAAAGTCCACACGGTGTGGTAGAGACACACTTTAAGTCAAATACAGACAATAAAAGGAGGTTATAAATACCACTAAGTGCTATGAGGTCACCATAAACTTTCTGCTGGACAGCGCAGACATGCTGAAAGTCCATACAGAAGAATTATCGGTTTCCTCTAAGGTATTTAGAGCGGCCCACAGCGAGTTAATAGCAGAACTGTTTAACCGTGTTGGATGAACACTAAGTCTGATTTGTTGTGCTTCTGTTGCCACACTGGAGAGTGCACATAAAACGGATTAGGCACTAAAGTCTGTCGGTAGGTTTTTAAGGTCAGGAGAACTCGTAAGAGGAGCAGCTAATGTTACTCACATATCTCCATTCCCTGTGGCTGGGAAGCGGTGCAGTTGCAGGAGCAGGTGACATTGGAGTTGCCGGGGCCGCCAGGAGCCGTTAGGTTTTGCATGGGGCTGGGCAGACCGGGACACCGCTCCGGGGAGAGAGCCGCCGCCGCCGCCGCCGCCGCCAGCGTCGGGGCCCCCCGACGGGAAAACAACGAAAAACTTCCAGGCAGCAGCAGCAGCAGCAGAGTCTGCCGCTACAAGTAACTCCCGACAGTTTCGCTTTAATTATCCCACGGCTTTTCTCACGCCATAATTCTCTCGGAGCGGCTCGGTGAGAGAATCACTGGGAGAGCTGGGGACGAGCCATTGCCTGTGGCTAATGCATTGTACGGCTTTTTCCGTTCCTTCCTCCGTCGCTGAGAGCAGCTGTCTTTACCCTACTACAGCTCGGCAGACACGGCGTCCTCAAGCCACGCCCGTAAACTGACAGAATGCCGCAGCGGCCTATCAGAGAGCTTCGGGGGAGGGACAGCGACGGGGTGGTGGGGGGTAGGGGAGGGAGGAGGCGCTGCCTTCAGGAGCGCTAAGAAATATCACTACCCTGACTTTAGCCAGCTAGGGAAAAAAAGCAACAAAATAAACGTAGTCCCACACCCTGTATGTAAAATTGACACTAAATCCAACAAATCTTCTAATTAATGACCATCAAATGCATTCACATTCCCACATTTTAATATGACAATGAATTGTAAGAGGAGCACTTGAAGGCAGCAATGGGCAGAGGATGGGACAGCGGCTGTACTTTATGGTAGTGTGCACGCGTGTCTGGGTTGCAGGGGGCAGGCCGCACATTGGTGAGACTGAAAGGGGTGGCTGACCTGACTTAGAAATCTAGCAGACGGGTCGTGGTTGACAATGGCTGTAAGAGAAAGGAGTTGGGGGGAGAGAGGAGGGCTGGACCTGGTAGGTCTGGTGTGTTATTTGGGGAGGGTGGGGGAAGCGCTTCGAGTTTCACTCCCTTGTTATGGCCGGCCACAGCCAATATAGTCGGCTCTTTAAAGGGGCTAACCTTGAGGTGACCCCCCCAAGCTAGTCTTGTGGTTTAGGGCCACATGTGCAGCAGAGAGGCAAACCCCCGCCCCCAGCACATCCCTGCTTAATCTAACCAACAGTGCAGCCATTTCATCCAACACACAAACACAAACTCACACATACAGGATCTATAAATAAACCGAGCTGCTCAAATCTGAGAGGGGCTCTGAATGCCACTCTAGTCCAGGAGGTTCCCAAGCTAAGGTTCAGGGACCAAGCAAGGTCATCATAGAGCTTGCAAGTTTTTGACTTTATTTGTGCAGAGGATAAAACAAGTAGTAGGTTAATAGTCTCTTAGCTGGTCATATTAGATTCCTGAATTTGCAGGTGAATCTAAAGATACTATAAAGGATACTCTAATATACTATAAAGGATATAAAGTATACTTTATTTTGAACACATCATTGAGGCTGTGCAAGAGAATTCACATTGGATTTTTTAAAATTATTTATTATTAAAAGATCTGCTCTACAAGGAAACACATTTGTGTATTCTGCTATATTTTGCTATAAGTGTTGTAGGAACTCTTGATCTAGTAGTCCTGAAGTCACTTTTCCCCCCCATCCTATTGCTGTTTGGAACCATAAGCTGTGTATTAAAGATTTCTGGGCTTCCCACATTGGTCACTGCCATGTCAGAGTGCCATGTCAGTAAGATTAGCAAACTTGGTTAGCAAGCTGCATCTATAAATCATGTGCCTGTAAAGCACAGACACATATTTAGTTGAGGTGATGCTTTATCCATTCCAAAACCAGTTTTCATGTATGTTTCTCTTGATTTAACGTCCAATTATGCCTAAATTTCAGTTGTGTAGCTGTTGATTTGAGGTGAAGTGGAAGAATGTTTCTACTACTTCTACCAGTATCACTGACAGCAAAAACGCCACTGAGTATGATGGTGCCACTACCATGTTTGACAGTTGGTACAGTGTTTTTAAGTTTGAAAGCCTCACCTATAATCCTCCAAACATAAAACATACATCTATTCAATGTGAACAAATAGCTCTTTGTTTTGTCTTTCCATAATACTTTTCTCTAGAAGGTATTAGGCTTGTTTATTTGGACTATGCGTATAAGCCAGGTCTGTGCCAGGAAACCATCCAGTGGTCAAATATCCAGCCAGAATTATGCCAGAAGTTTGTTGATGGCAAACCAAAAGCATCTGGTCAAGATGCAAGTTGCTGTTTAACCAAATATTAGTGGTGTTTTGAATCTGAATTTATTTTGGATTTTCTCCAATTTACACAAACTTGTGCACCCAATACTTGTTCTTTAAAGTCATTAAATATGTATGCTTTACAATCATTCCTCTCCAGAAACACCTAAAATTACCATGACCTCATGCCCATTATGAACATGTGTAAATGTCTGACAATCAAGTAACTGCAATAAAATAAGAGAACTTCAATCAGCAAAACTGAGTTTTGGTTGGCTTGTACCGCAGAGCATGCTATTTATTTTTATTATTGGTCAGATAATTCCAAAAGGTACCAACAGCACAAAAACAACCAGGTGGTCTAATTCAGTGACTTGAATTAGTGTAGTTGAAACCGAGCAAACAGCTTCCAGCTACCAATGCTTTTGTTGGCATACCTGTCCATCAGAATGGCAACACTGGTCTCCACACCATCCCAGTAGAAAGTCATTTTGATGGATGACTTTGGGCATTTTATCACAAAAGTCTATGGGGACTGACTCACTTTTGGATACAGCCTCAAGTGGATGTTAAAGGAACTGCAATTTTTACTACTTGGACATTAGCTTCATTTTCAGTCCTCAAAGTTGCCATTTATGTGGGGGAAAAAATAAATATAGCAGATGGACGTGTGACCTGTTCTAGTATAAATGGAACCTCATCAGTCTGTGCACATGGAAAGCACGAACTGGCAACAAGTAATTATATGAAAGACCTGAGATGATGATTGGAGTAATGAGCGGGCCAGGCTTACAGCCTTTTACCAACTGCATGGCCTCATGATGGTCCACGGACCATTTTACAGGACGAATGAAGCTCTTCCAGGTGGCATTCCAAGAAAATAGAGCAAAGAGGGAATAATATAGGAATGGCTCTTCTGATCACAGGCCTGCTCTCTTGCACACCACTTCTGCAGCAAATCATAGAAATGCCATGGGAGAAAATCGCATCACATATCGTGTGTGCTGGGAGTGAAAAATGAGAAATGCCTGCTCAGAGGGGGTGCGGTTTGACCGTTTTCACTCTGAAGACATCAGTAACCGAAGGCAATAAAACGAAATGGACCTCTGTGAAGGAAAATAAGTAAATGGGGAAAGCAAAGACCTCCGACAGATGTTCTGCATTAAGTGCCGCATCACTAGCCAAGTTCTATATCCAATCATGCAAAAATATTTTCCTTGACAGCGGCTTCTACACTCCTCTACGAGTGGACTGACACCTTTGGAAGAGAACAGACTGCGTGACCCTGAAACAATTTACAAACGCCTGGCAGCTGTCATAATTGTGTTGAAGCAACAAATTGAGGCAACAAATTGAGGCACTGCTGTGTTGTCAGATAAAGCAACGATATCGATGCAATAAAGACCATTTTTTACAATTTGTTTTTATGTCTTGATCTGAGGTCACAGCCATGCACACACATCCCAGACAAGCTCTCATCCACAGACAGACACACATCGATTCACCCGCATCCATCCACCACCACAACCACAAAAATGCAAGCGCACACATGCACAGTCTGTCTGGAGCGTCAATTTAGTCCCCTGGGGAGCACGCAGGGTGACACCACTAACAGGCCAGACCAGACCAGACAGCCAGCAGACAGATAAATACTAGGCACGGCTGAATACCAAATGCACTCGTGTCTACCAGCCCCCCACTCCACCCCCACCCGCCTATAGTCTGCACACACACACAGGCGCTCTCTCTGTGGGTCTCTCGGGAAACGTCTGTCTCATCGTGTATTTGAGGAATCCTAACTTTAGGTTGATAGGTTTATCATGCTCGGCACGTGCACGTGGATCTATTTTTGGAACTTTGGGAGTGCGGGCTTTCCTGCTCGCACATGCTTACTCAGGAGTTCACTGCAGTGTTAGTGTTACTGTTGCTGCTGTTTTGTGAATCGAAGTGCCACGCGTTAACGTGACGGCCCTTTAAAGATCTGACAATGCACACTTTTTAATGCAGCATGGACAGGAGAGGAAACACCACCACCGTGTGTCTGCACAAAACCCACACTTCGGATGGCAACAGGTCCATCTTTAGCCACGGGATGCCCGTCTTGTGCATATGTATGTTTGGATACACGGACCATTTCCCACCTGTCACTTCCCCGTGACTTTCCAGATAAAAAGACAGCTGACAGATGACAGTAAGACAGTAGCAGTAACAGTATAAAAGATGCCACGGATGACTCAGAGTTTACATGAGCTGTTTGTGAGGAGACCATGAGTGCATCAGTGATGCGGTCGGGCCAGTAGTGGGGAAAAAGCAGCACAGCAAAGGCCTCAGTTGAGGGTAGCCCCATCCCAACAAGGGCAACTTCTCCATCCCAGCCAGTGTGGTGCTGAGCTGCAAGCTACTTTATAGCGCCATCTTGTGGCTCATCTCAGAAAGAGGCCTGTTTCCATCCAGCATCCCAAACACGGAGTGGAAAAAGTTGCTTTCCTTCCCTGGTGTCTGCTTCAGTCCTTCTCGTGTCTTCTCTCTGTCGCTCCATTACTTGTGAAATCAAAGCTGTCTCCCAGGCAAAGGTTTAAGCTTTGAATCAATTATGCCTCGTCTTCATCAGATGGCACGAGGGAGCAGAGAGGAGGACACAGAAAAAATAAAAGAATCCAGTTCTATGGCTCATTTTTTTAAAGACAGATTAAAGTTCTCATAGTGAGCTGTTTAAAGGGCAAATCACAGTTATATTTTACACTAAATACAGTATTTTTTCCTGTATGAGAAGGACTTTTTATGCAGAAAACTATGCCGACACCTCTGAATTTGCACTCATTTTGTGTTTTGAATCAACTCTTTTATTTCTGGTTAAATTATAATCAAAAATCACAGTAAAAACAGGTATATAAAACGTAATATTTTATAGAACAGTGTGCTGCGTACAACAAGTGGGACATGATTTTCTGCTGAAAACACAGCAAACAGGTAGTTGCTTCTATATGACTGCTTAAAGCAGGGGTGGGCAATTCCAGGCCTCGAGGGCGGGTGTCCTGCAGGTTTTAGATCTCACAGGACATGTTGAGGAGCTAATTTAGCCATTTAAATCAGCTGTGTTGGTTCAAGGACACATCTAAAACCTGCAGGGACACCGGCCCTCGAGGCCTGGAGTTGCCCACCCCTGGCTTAAAGTATCCCTTCAGGATATTCAGGACCCTTTAAATCTCTAAAGTATACTCCAACAGAGCAGAAATAATTCATTTATTGATTTGTTGACTAACATAATTAAGGGATTTTTAAGCGAAAGTAATCAACACTCAACTTCTTAAATGTTATGATTTACATTTTCAGTGAATTTACTTTAATCACTGACTGACAAAGAAAGACGTTTGAAGATGTGAACTAATCAGGTAATTGGGCTAATTAGGAATCTTTTGCTCCTTTAAGGTCAATAAAGGAAAGGCCATATACAAGGAAGCTCACTTCTGTATTCATGCTCATGTAATGATAATCTATGATGTATTATGCATAATATTACAGTCACACAAGGCTATTTTTCTGCTGAAAAAGGTTTACTTTTTGTATTTTTTTTTGTATGTTCCTGATTACGCTTGTGTACCTTTACCTATTTTCATCAGGTAAATTTGTATGTTAAATGGTAAATGGCCTGCATTTGTATAGCGCTTTACTCAGTCCCTAAGGACCCCAAAGCGCTTTAAACTACATTCAGTCATTCACCCATTCACACACACATTCACACACTGGCAATGGCAAGCTACGTTGTAGCCACAGCTGCCCTGGGGCGCACTGACAGAGGCGCGAGGCATGTTTATTAAAAGATCTCCAAACTATCTCCAAAACTGCCAGCACACCAAAACTGACCTGTCTGTCCATATGTGATCACCTCTTGGTTTGTTTTCAGCATGATTCTTTAAAGGACCGGGGCATAAAAGCACTAATGCATCTTTTATCATCTTGTCAGTTATCTGAATCACTGGGTAAAATTACAGGTGTGAAAGTAGTAGTAGTTTCCATCCAAATGTAACATAAATACTAACATTTAGGTAGAAAATGCCAACTAATGCACTACTGTCATATACATACAAGGTTTGTTTGTTGGCGGTCATATGACAGAGCCAAAACTTTTTTAGTCAGGGCCCTTATAGTCAAAAGAAGATTTCCATTTACAGTGATTTACTGTGAGCCCCCAGAGCAGCAGCAGGGCCCCAGTGCAGCACAGAGCAGGTGCCAGCACATGTAGAGGTTCAAAGGGTTTCATGGGCATAAAAACATCACATGTGTTTATGTGTGTGGAAAAGTTTAAGGGTGGAATTAAAAGAATGTCCAATCATAACTCAGTTTAAAAACCAATAAAAGGAGATCATTTTCACAAGGTGCAAGACTTAGAGGGATGTTAATCATAGGAGGTATTCGTTAGTGAAAAAATGTAGTTTGTTGTTTTGCAATGTGTACTATCTAAGTGTGTGTAGCCTTGGATACAGTTATAAATATATACAGTCTCATTATATCTCAGTGAACACTGATTTGTTGCAAGTGTAAACTTTATCCGTTTCCTTTTCGAGCAAGTAAATTGTGTGCTATACAGAGTTATCCATGGCAACTTTCTTTATTTTCTAATACTTTTTTTTGTTTACAATTATTTTTTTTGCATGTTCAAAATAAAACAGCCAATCAAATCAAAACAGTCAGAAAAGGCATAAAAGGAGATTTTGAGGTAGAGGTGGGTTTCAAAGCAGCTTGCATATGCAATGAATCTGTTGATCAGTGAGCTCATACCCTTCGGGAACTAACGCTAAACTCGATTTTGGGTTAAAATGAATCTTTTTAGGATGTTAAAAACATTTTTTAACACACAAGTTTTCCAGTTGAAATTGACATGCAAACAGGTGGATGGAGTTGCATGCAGAACAAAAGAAATACGTCTTCCTTCTTTGAGAAGGTGACTGGACTGCACAAGTGACAAAATACCTTTCGTTTTTGGAATACTGACCAAATAAACAAATAAATAGGAGGCGGAAATCATTCCCAAAACAGCAAAAATGGTTAATACAGTGGAAGCAAATAACCGAATGAAATATTCATCCATGTGGCCACAGAACTGCCCCCAAAAATCAGAGAAAGAGCAGAAACTGACGGGCTGTGAACCGTATGGGATAACCTGTGACACTGCAAATGAACACAGCACAGAGGAAGAAGAAGAGCAGTTTCTTGCCTGCATCACTAATGCCTGTTTATCCCAAAAAAGCCTCAATCGTGGGACTTGTGTGATGAAAGTATTTGCGCATGACGAAGGATCCATTTTGACTATAACATAACATTTTCAGTCAGACTAATAACTCGAAACACCCCGTGACTTCTGTGTGGAGTGGGTATTACTGAATGCCTTTCCAAATGTCAGAACAAAAGATGGATATGACTCAGCCTTAATAACAAGGCTGAATGGGATTCATGAATTAACCGCAATGCATCTCACCAGCTGACAACGCTGGAGAGCGAGGGAGGAGAGAAAGGGAGAGAGAAAGAGAGAGAGAGAGTGTTTGCTTAGGCATCGACTGTAGCTCGGCATCTTCAGCGGAGCGCTAAGTAACAGAAAGGCCACTCCAGACAGTCAGATTGCAGAGTAGAGAGTTGCGTTCAATAAAAACGTCTGGCATGCCACATCATATTTGCAGCTTCCTGCCCTTGTCTGGCTGCAGTGCCGTGTCATATCCTGTCCACACAGTGTACCCCAAAGCACTTTACACTACATCCAGTCATCCACCCATTCACACACACACACACACACACACACACACACCACTAACACACACACACACACACACACACACACGCGCACACACACACACACACACACACCTCACTTACACCCCTGTCATTTGAAAAGAATACCCCTCCCTACCTCTCTTACTGCCGCAGGCTCCACTGCAATGACACCACAGCTCTCAGTGAAAAGTTATGCATGTGTGTGTCAGAGACAGATAGCTAGAAGAAGAGAAAGGGGGATGACAGAGCAGACAGAAATATGCAGAGTGTGTGTGTGTGTGTGTGTGTGTGTGTGTGTGTGTGTGTGTGTGTGTGTGTGTGTGTGTGTGTGTGAATAAAACAGTTCACGGAGAGAGAGACAGAGCCTGAGCTGGAGGATACTGAGAGTAAAGGGATGAATGAAGAGAAGACGAGAAGAAGAAAAAGAAGAGAAGGTGAGCAAAAGGAGGACAGGAGGAAAAGACAAGGCAAGATAAAAGGAAAGCATAGAAGAAGAAAATGTATGAGGAGAAAAAGAGATAAAACACGGGAAGAGAGAAAAGAAGAGGGAAAAACAGGGAAGAGAAAATAAAAGAAAGTGGCAATATAAAAGAAAAAACGAATAAAGGGAAGATAAAAAAAATAATGGACAGTAGAAGAAAAAGGTAAGAAAAAGGAAAAAGTCGAGGAATAACAGAGAAAAGAAAAAGCAGAGAGGTGCCAACAAAAAAAAGAAGAAACAAAGTGAAAGCAAAAGCCAGTGAGTGAGTGAGGGAGGGACATAGAGGCACAGACAGAGAGGAAGAGTAGATAATCAGCAGGTATTGAGCTCTTTTCACCCCTGCGGTAGGGCTCTGCTGAGCATTGTAATGGGCTGTCTGCCCAGCTGGGCCGATGAGCTCATGTCTGGCTTTAATGCCAATCCTCAACTGGCACACAGCTCGGCAAGGCAAGCGCAGACGCAACACCACGATGCCGCTGGGGAAAGGACGCGACACAGCTGAGCGAGAGGAATAGAAAGAGGAAGAAAAAGAGAAGGAAAAGTGACGGAGAGAGCCAGGCAGGCTGAAGGTGTGTTGTGTGCGTGCGCACTTCCATCACAACACTGATAAGAGCCCCGAACCAGACGGTGATAATCACACAGCCAGTGAGACAGCAGCTGTAAATGTGTGTCTGTAAAAGTGAGGGAAGGGGGACAGAAAGAGCGAGCGAGTGTTATTTTATGCAGTCATAAACAGCGGCGATTACAGAGTGTGCATGGTACACGTTACAGCCTCCTGCTGCCGAGAGTGCATGCAAACAGACGCACACGTGTGTGCAAAAGCACACGCATGGCTACGAGAACACAGAAGCACACATGCAATCTGATTTTCAAACAGCTTTTAAGTGAGCCGCTGTGTACATGTGCAGACAGCTGACTTCAAAAAGAGTCAGTGTTGGACAACAGTGCTTCAGCGCGCTGGCTTTTTCCCTTTCCTTTTGGTTTTTTCAGAGTTGGTATTGTCGCAAAATACAAAGCAAGCGTTTTCTTGCACTCAATGTGGCAGCTGTTCTCACTGCAGGCAATTCACAGCAACCATTATAACATTACGTGGCTGTTTTATCCCCAGGTTTGCTGCCTGTACAGACAGCTCTACACTTTGTGTAAACCATGGCATCACCATTCAATCCGCATAGAAAAAAAGCATGAAAAACAGAGGAAGCTGTATGTCTCCTCCAGTCTTTGTAAGTCTGTGCGTAGGGCCCTCTATAACAGCTTTAGATCTAGTGATTGTAACTGTGTATTTGTAGCTCTAATGAGCATATGCTGATCATTAAATCTATAACACATGAGCATGAGGGCAGAGTCACTGCACAGCTCAGCTCATAGCTCGCTGCTGTACTAAAGTGATTTAGGAGACATTAGCGTGACTGTACCCTAGTAGTCTTGTATTGATAGTCCTTTGAAAGCCCAACCCTGACTGAACGAAAACTGACATAACTGATTTTTAAGGCCTTCTGGGGACACTAACAGGATATGCACAACATTATCATTTACATATCATTCACACAGACAATGTAAAACATTAATATCGCTTCTGGGTATAAAAAGTGAAGGCTAAGAGGAAGTGCCTTAAACCGGCATTCTTTTTAAAGAGCACCAGGGGGCGATACCCGCGGTTGCAAAAAAGACTTCCTACAGAAGTTAGCTGTTGGTCACAAATGACTACATACCTGTCTGCAAATACCCCACAACCCCTGATTGTGATGAAAAATATTTATTGATTGCTGTTTGCAAATGTTTGCTGGAGGTTGTTTCCAGTTT